CTAGGGTACACCTGTCTGACGTTCGGAAGCAATGTTGCCCCGCAAGGACCCCACCACGAGACCGGGGTGGGGAAGAATATTCGTACTCACATAATGCAGAGAGCAGAATATTCCTACTCACATAATGCAGATACGAAAAATTTTCTGTTTGTGAAATTTTACAAAAGAAATTTTCTCATCCTGCGGTTCTCACAGGGATCCTAATGTTTTGGGAAATATCTCTAAAATAAAAAAATTATTAAATCAAATTTAATTTAAATACTCCTGGCTAGTCATGGAATTTTGTATTTCTTCTAGTGCGCGTCCTTTAGTCTCTGGTACAAGCTTTGCAATGAAAAAAGTTCCAGCAGCACAGATGCCAGCAAATATGAAAAATGTCCCTGATCAAACAGGATAGGATATATAGCCAAGAAGGATCATCTTAAGAAACTATTATTAACACTGTCTTTATATAGAGAAAAAGTTAAAAGGAAAATGAGGAAGCAATACCTGCTGAGCTCCAGTCAAATAGAAAGGTAAAGGTGTAGGCAGTTACCCAAGAACCAAACCAGCTCACTAAGGTAACAAGGCTTCCAGCTGACACCTTTATGTTAATTGAAAATATCTAACATAAAAGCCATGGAATCAGCATGTTTAGGATATGCATTCTTTTATGAGTTTACACCACAGTCAGAGAGACTGAGTAAAAGTGAACTTACAAAAGAGGAAGAAATATAATGAGAAAAGAAAACAATGGAACCTCACCTCTGACATTATAACAAACGGTATCCCTCCCATGGCGAGTTTAAAACTACCCAAGAATACCTAGTTTTGCAGAAAGCAAATGGTAGTTAAAATTTATCCGGTGATGATGACAATTAAAAGTTTAATTATCAATAGGGACAATTTAGTTAAATTTATCCATCCTTGAAGAGCATTTCCCCCACTTTCTTTAGCAACTAGCTTTGCTTATGCAAGAAAGAAAGAGACAATTTATTTGCATAAATAGTTTTGAGAACAATATTTTACCAATACACCGACAAGAACCAAGAAAGCAACAAGCTCCTTTCCAGAGTGAAGATCCTGGCAAATATGGCAGAGAATAATGATATAGAAATGACAAATATAAAAATGCATTGATATATATATTTAGATTATGCTTAAAAGG